GGCGTCTCTATAAAGGGAAGTGCCGAGAGGGTTCAGCAATTTTTGTCCTCACTTCACGTACGCATCCCACTTTAAATTCGACCTTATGTCACATTCCGTTCGAGTCGGGAAGTGTGTGGACCCTTCACTGATTGGACGGCCGGTAACTATGTCATTTTCCAATGTTGCTCCGCAAACACCACGTTCAGTCCCCCCAAAAGAATTTAACACTGACCTTTGGTACGGGAAGACTGTTAATATTATTTTTGTGAATACTATCGTAGACACGTTGGTAAAATAAAAATAAATAAATAAAATAAAATAAAATCGGATTCCCCGTCCGTCACGCATTGCCTGCGTGTGACTGGATTAGGGCAGGTTTCATTTTTCACTTTCTCTTTTAGAAAATCAACATTGCACTCGATTTGGAAGCTGGGGTTTGATGTGATACGTACCCACACCAAAATTAGATTTTACCGATTTTTGAACGTTTGCTTTTATCGCCTGCCAAATGTGTAGAAATATCTTAATCTCCGTAGATTTTTTTGCTTACAAACTGACTTAAAATTTTTACTATTTCATGAATAAATGCAAATAAAGTCGATATTTTGATGTATTAGATACATTGAATGGAAAATAAAACCAGAATTATCATTAGGAATCTCTACAAGCAAAAAATGCAATTTCTTTTACTGCTTTCGATAAGGAAAATAAACTGTAAAAAAAAAAATGGTTAAAGATTACAAAAATGGTTACTCAATGAATAAGTTTTGTTAGATTATAATTAATAAAAACAAATCATAGATAAAAGTCTATATAACATCATAAGACTCGTGGACAAATTATAAGACAAAATGTTTTAAATTTGCATTGTTTATTGAAAATCACACTAAAACTACTGCACTGTATAAATATATGACATCATAATATGGCTAAATTGTTCAGTATAATTTCCATTTGAAGTGAATGAAGGTCTTATTTGATGACACAATGATTTAGTAATAATGTGCTTGTGTCATGCATCTTGTCCATATACAATTTATAAAGCTTCAGTAAATTATAAATTTTATAAAGCTGTGTTATAAGGCTTTCATTGATCACCAGAATTAAATATCAACGCTACGATTTTGAAACTAAACTAAATCTTTAAACTCGTTTCCTCAAATCACGATACAGATTTGGAAAAAATATTCTGTCTTTATGTCAAACCCTAACTTTCAAATCGAGTGCAATATCACGGTTCCAAAATCGACCTGCTCTATTGTGTATCAGTGTCGAGAAAAATGGTCACCGGTCAATTTATTAAACGAAACCACCGGATTATTGTTTGTTTAACGATATATCAATACCTTATGGGTCATTTAATGTCGAAATTTAATTTCCTTGTGAGCTTTGATATTTATTTGGGGGTTAACTATTCGCTGGGACCCTACCACCCAGAGTCAGGGTTAACCTAGGAAGAATAGTAATTAAGAGGTAGTTCAACGCTTCTTAAAACCCACCCTCTGAGGACTTGCTGCAAAATGTAGTTTATCGTCATACCCAGAACGGAAAAAGAAGTGTTAACAAATCCGCTTCGAGAAAGTTCAGTCCTGTAAGAAAATGACAACACAATTGAATAAATAAATCCAGCGTTCCGATTTTGAACTTAAACTTAATCTTTAAACTCGCTTCCTCAAAAAATAGTAGCGATTTGGAAAAAAATATTTTGGGTCGTTATTTATTTTGTCGAACCCCAACTTTCAAACTGAGTGCAATACGGCGCTTCCACAATCGACCAGCTCTAATATGCATTCGTGTATATCGCTTGCTGTGCATGACTCACTCATATGTGTGTGCCATGTACATACAAGCACAGGTAAACACACATACACTCACAATTTGACTTGGAAATACGATATTAGAACATGTATCTCCGCAGATTCGTAATGTCTGTCTAACCTAACGTTTAAAACGATTTTTAAAAACGAAAAATCTTTCTTGAAGCTTTTATTTTAATTTTAATTTCAAGCTAATCGATTTAAATTTAATATTTAAAATAGTAAAATATTTTCTTCAAAACTAATTTAAATTCACTATTTACACTATCGTTCTCATCTTTGTCGCCATATTTATTACAACGTTTCGGCCATTGTACGCTCCGGTCGGCCATTCAGGTGATTGGAATATCGAACTGAACCCTTTATTTCGCCCACTAGAATGTTTAATGAATGTCAGTTATCAGTTAATTAAGGTTTTATTGAAATTTTATTTCCACATAATTTTTTGTTTCCACAAGTTCTCCACTGTCTTAACCAGGTATTGAACGCACACTCTTTGGGTCCTGTCACTGGATCTAACTAACACCTTTATCCACTGTGCCATGTGTCCTTGAGGGCATCTGTGTATGTATTTCTGGGTATTATAAACCTAATGTCTTCAGCAATCATTTATTATCAGTGCTCATATTTCAATTTTTACTGTTATCATTTCATATTTTTACCAGAGCTCATATTGCAATTTTTGTTGTTATTATCGCTTTTCTCTGGCACTCCTTATTACTGGTTCCCATATTGTATTCATTTCTATGCTTGGTCGGCTCATATGTGCTGATTCCTTAAGTTTAAGGAAATAACTGATAACTGACATCCATTAAACATGGCATGTGGAACTAGAACAATCTACCTCAGTGAGCGAAATAAAGGGTTCAGTTCGACATTCCAATCACTTTGAAGTCATTTTTATCGCCACTTTTGTATTTCTGAATATGCTTACAATACAGGGTGTCCATAAAGTTCGTGTGCACTTTAAAAAATATCATAACTTTATTTGTATTTGCGATAGAAATAATTTGTAAAAAAGGATTAGAAAGAAGTAAATCTATAATTTTTTTTAAGGTTTTATTGAAATTTTATTTCCACATAATTTTTTGTTTCAACATGTCCTCCATCTTTAGCAATACAAAAGGTAATACGATTTTGCAGTTCACGGAAAACATTTGCCAACTGATTTACAGTAATGCCTGAAATCACATTAGTTATTTCAGCTATACTTAAAACTAGGTACATTAAACTTTATAACATTTTTTTACAAATTATTTCTATCGCAAATACAAATAAAGTTATAAATTTTTTAAAGTGCACACGAACTTTATGGACACCCTGTATCTTCTAATAAACGTAGTATTTTAAATGGACAAGACAATTTTGATTTGAAATTTTATCATCTTGATTTCAGCTAAGGGACAACAGCCAAACTTGTCTATAATAAATTGGAAGAAAAAAAAATTACTGTATTTGCCGGCATATAGGACGCACCCAGATTTTGGCATGGCATATTTAGAGAAAAAAAAAATCAAAAATATAACATTACCTTCATGTGATATTCTCACTTTGTTTCGTTTATATTTTTATAACAGTTTACTAAAATGGCGCTAAATTAATTTGTTTTTAGAGGTTTCAAAATGAAAATTCCTTCCAATCAATTTAAATTAGTTTTGAAATACAGCAAAGTATTTTGCTTATTGGAAATATTAAATTTAATCTTTCAGCTTGAAATTAAAACTAAAATAGAAGCTTCAAGGAAGATTTTTCTTTTTTTTTTAAATTTAATTTCAAAACTTAAGTATCACGTTTCTGTGGAAGCACCTACCTCGAGTATAACCTGGTAAATAAAATAACAGACTTTCATTTTAGGAAAATAGTCAAATCCTATGAGAAGTTTTTAATAGGAGGAATCGCTTCTATAGGCATGGGTCAACAAAGTGATTGATATCAACCCCTGGAGGTTGATCAGATTATCCAAGAGTTCATAAATGCCTGGGGGTTCAAAAAGATCAACGGAAGCTCACAGATACTAAACTGATCCTCAGAAGAGGATCATGGTGAGACATTGATCCGAGGCAGAGCTCACCAATACTACACTAACCCTACGTACAGAGCCAGGGAGCACAACACAGCTACTATACTGATCCTACGTAGAACACCAAGGAACGAAATTTGATCCTAGGCAAAGCTCACAGATACTACACTGATCCTAAGCAGAGGGTCATGGGTCAGGTAGAATTCACATATACTATACTCATCCTACGCATAGCGCCAGGGAGCATAACACAGTTACTACACTGACCTACGTAGAACACCAAGGGGTGACACTTTGAGCCTAGGTAGGGTTCCCAGATATAACACTGATCCTAGGTAGAGGGTCAGGGAGCGACACTTTGATCCAAGACAGAGCACACAGATGCTACACTGATCCTACACATAGGGGCAGAAAGCAACAATTTGATTCCTGAGCAGAATACACAGATACTGCACTGATCCTATGCAGATGTCCCAAGAGCGTCACATTGCTCTTAGGCAGAGTGCACAGATACTACATCGATAGTTGGCAAGGTTCACTGATACTACACTGATCCCAGGCAAAAGGCCATGGGACGACACTATTAGCATAGGCAGAATTTACAGGTCATCATCATCATCATTATCATCATCATCATCATCAGCCGCAGCAGTCCCATGACCGATTGTGGTCGTAGGGTCGCGGCTGATCACCTGACCAGCTCCCTCCATATGTCTGGGTTGTGTGCCAATGTCTGAGTTTCTAGGAATGATTTTCCAGTCCACTCTGTGACACTATCAGACCATTTCCCCCCGCCCCCCAATGTTTGTGTTTTCTTTTCTTTTTCTAAGATGGTGCCTCTATGCGCGCACCTACGTCGCAACAACATGTGATTTAAAATTACAGATGCTAGCTTTCGTTTTGGTGACAACGAAAAATGTTGGTGCATGAAAAAAAATGTTTCTTTTTTTGTTTTTTGGTATCAGTAGTCTGTGGATATATTGATACCTTTAATGAAAAGGTGGAGACAACGATTTATCTCTCTCTCACTATATATATGTATATATAAATGTATACAAATATAGATAGATAGAGATAGAGAGAGAGAGAGAGAGAGAGAGAGAGAGAGAGAGACAAAGCGAGAGAAACAGAGACAAGCAGTCAAATATTTCTCGTCATATCTCAATGTCCTTCATATCAAGTGTTCATATTTATCTGTCTATATCTCATTTCTCTTCATATCTATCTATCAATTCTCTTCATATCTATCTATCTATCTATCTATCTATCAATTCTCTTTATATTTATTAATCTATATTACAGTTCTTTTCGTATCTATCTCAATTCTCTTCATATCTATCCATCTATCTATCTATCAATTCTCTTTTTGTCTATCTATCTATTCGTATCTCAATTCTCTTCATATCTATATATCTCTCAATTCTCTTCATATCTATCTATCTATCTATCTATCTATCTATCTATCTATCTATCTATTCTCTCCCTATCTATGTATCTATCTCTCAATTCTCTTCAAATTTATTAATCTATATCACAGTTCTTTTCATATCTATCTCTCAATTCTCTTCCCATCTATCTATCTATCTATCTATCTATCTATCTATCTATCTATCTACATTTGTCCAGTCATACATCTATCCTATTCATGTATTTTATATTTCTGGTTTTATTTTTTCCCCTACTATTCGTTCATTCTTAGCTTTCCACAGACTTTGCCATTATTTCTGTGTCCATCACCCAGCTCCCTCAATCCACAAAATGCCTCCAAGACCGAACCAGTCCTGCTCCTGTACAGTCAATCTTCTGCTAGACTTAATTTAAATTTCAACCCTCGCTTCTCAACACCTTCACATCCCCACCTTAACCAGAACTGTTATCCCCCACCCCCAACCCATAGTCAGTAGCGGGGACTGGGAATGGGGCACTGTCCGTGGCCATGATCCACATTTATCTCTGTCGTAAGCTAAGACAGACATTGTCTTTTCTTTCAACTTACTTGGTTTTAAGGAAGTTTATTCACCATTTTTTTTTTCAAAAGGATTCTCGCAATTCTGCCGTTAAACTTTTATTCTAAAATATTTCTCTTTTCTTTTTTTTAATTTTTTTCTTTCTTTATAAAGAAAAAAAAATCCTTTTTGTCCATTGATATAATGAATGACGTTTATACTTTCTATAATGTATGAGATTTAAAAAAAAATTTTTTTTTCTTTCTTTCTGGTGTTTTTTTTATACATCTTTTATTTCTCTCGTTCAAATTCCTTCATAACTGCATTACTCATTTATTTGACTTTCTTTCTTTTTTTCTTTCTTAATCTGCCTTTGTTTCCTTGCGATTTCTCATTTCTTCTCTCCATGCCATTTTTACATTTCTTTCTTTTTTTTTTCATCTGTTTGTTTTTTGTTTTATTCAGTCTTTCTTTTTTCTTTCTGCTTCTTTCTTTCTTTCTTCTTTCTTTCTTTCTTCTATCTCTTTTTCTCTTCCTTTCATCATTGCTTCTTTCTCTCTCTTCTTCTTCTTTGTTTTTTTAAAACATCCATTAATAAATTCTGTTTTTGTTGCTTTCTTTCTTTATTCACTGAGTTTTTCTTTATTGCTTTTTTTTTCTTTCATTTCCATTGCTCTACTCTTCCTTTATTTGTTGTTTTTTCTTCTGTCCCTTCCTTTATTCACTCCTCCTTTCCTTATTCCTTTCTTCTTTCTTCCTTTCTTTACTCCTTCTTCCCTTATTCATTATTCTTTCTTCCTTTCTTCGCTCCTCCTTCCCTTATTCCTTTATTCTTTCTTCCTTTCTTTACTCCTCCTTCCCTTATTCTTTAGTCTTTCTTCACTTCTTCTTTCCTTATTCCTTTATCCTTTCTTTCTTCATTCCTCCTTCCATTTTCAGTCTTTCTTTCCTTATTCCTTTATTCTTTCTTCCTTTCTTTACTCCTCCTTCCCTTATTCTTTAGTCTTTCTTCACTTCTTCTTTCCTTATTTCTTTCTTCTTTCTTCCTTTCTTTACTCCTCCTTCCCTTATTCTTTAGTCTTTCTTCCTTTCTTCGCTCCTCCTTCCCTTATTCCTTTATTCTTTCTTCCTTTCTTTACTCCTCCTTCCCTTATTCTTTAGTCTTTCTTCCTTTCTTCGCTCCTCCTTCCCTTATTCCTTTATTCTTTCTTCCTTTCTTTACTCCTCCTTCCCTTATTCTTTAGTCTTTCTTCACTTCTTCTTTCCTTATTCCTTTATTCTTTCTTTCTTTTTTTACTATATTTTTCTTCTTTGATTCTTTCTTCTGTCCCTTTTTTCTTCCTTTCTTCAATCTTTCCATTATTATTTTTTTTTATTCGTTCGTTATTATTTTTTTATTATTTGTTCTTTCTTTCTTCTTTTCTTTTAATTCACTACCTTTGTCTTTTTTCATTCATTCCTTCTTTCTGTAGTCTTTTTCGTCTTTCTTACCTTTTCTTCATTCCTTTCCTCTTGCCTTTAGTCCTTCTTTCTTTCTTTCTTTCTTAAATTCACTACTTTATCTTTTCTTCGTTCCTTCTTTCTTCCATTTTTTTTACTTTCTTCCTTACTTTCATGCTATTTTTTTTCTTATTTTTGTTCCCCCTTCCCTCTTGCCTTTATCTTTCTTTCTTTCTTTCTTTCTTTCTTTCTTTCTTTCTTCATTTCTCCCTTCTTTCTTTCCTTTTCATGGCAACTACAAGATAATAACTCTACTAATGGATGTCTTCCCAAAGAGACAGATAACAAAAAAAAATGCCTAAGTAAAAAAGGGGGGCAAAGCTTTGACCTTTGACCTGACAGCTATCAATACAAAACCCCTCCTACACACAAGGAGAAAAAAAGTTTCACAATAAAGACAATTAAAGCTATCTTCTACTGACCAACAAACAAGGAAACAATCGGATAAGCAAACTAACAAATTCATTTTCCTTTTAGTGTCCAGCTTTCCTCAACAGTGTCACACCCTCCTCTCGATGCCATTACCAGCCACCAGAACTTAATCACATTGTATATAATTGTTAGAATGTATACTTGGGCAAGATGGACCTGATAAAATATAATATGGGTCCAAGCACTTAAGCAAATAGTATTTATCAAATCTGACAAGAGATTGGCGGGGTATCTTAAAATGGCAACCGTGGTCTAACTTTTATATTCCAAAACTCAAAAGTTTAGAAATGGTGTGGATATTTTATTAAGACAGCATCAAACCTTTTAGCTTCATACCAACAATTCACTTTACTCTCTCTCTCTCTCTCTTTCACACACACACACACTTCTTACTTTCTTTTTTTTCTCTCTCTCTATCTATCTCTATTCATATCTATGTCTGTTATCTATCTATCTTTGTTAATATCTATGTACTTATCTCTGTTAATATCTATCTATCTTTGTTAATATCAATCTTTGTTAATAGCTAACTATCTATCTATCTATCTATCTGCTAATATCTATTTATCTATCTATGTTAATATCTATCGATCTTTATTAATATCTATCTATCTATCTATCTATCTGCTAATATCTATTTATCTATCTATGTTAATATCTATCGATCTTTATTAATATCTATCTATCTATCTATCTATCTATCTGTTCAGTTCAAGTCTAATTATCCTATCTATCTATCTTTGTTAATATCTCTATGTTAATATCTATCTATCCAGCTATTTATCTCATTTAATATCTATCTATGTATCTCATTTAATATCTATCTATGTATCTCATTTAATATCTATCTATCTATCTATCTATCTCATTTAATATCTATCTATCTATCTGTTAATATCTATCTATCTATCTGTTAATATCTATTTATCTCTGTTAATATCTATCAATCTTTGTTAATCTCTATTTATCTCTGTTAATATCTATCTATCTATCTATCTATCTATCTATCTATCGATCTTTGTTAATATCTATCTATGCATCTATCTATCTCATTTAATATCTATCTTTGTTAATATCTATCTATGCATCTATCTATCTCATTTAATATCTATCTATCTATCTCATTTAATATCTATCTATCTATCTATTTATCTATCTATCTCTGTTAATATCTATCTCTGTTAATATCTATCTATCTATCTCTGTTAATATCTATCTATCTATCTCAGCCAATTAATATCAATGCAAAATATCAGATATAAATAAAAAATAAATTTGTAAAAAGATAATATGAATAAATACCAAAGAAAAACTATGTCTCTTTGTGTGCGTATGTGCATGTGTTTGCGTATCCCAAGTTGCAAGGTATGCATCACATTGCTTATAAAAACTTACTCCGTACAATATTAAAAATTATATGCCAACAATTGTGTTGAACCAAGTTATTATTTTGAAAAGGATGCACATCTCATGGCCTCCTTTCATTCTTCTTGGTCAGACTGAGAACTTTTCATGTGAGGTGCTACCTAAAAGACACACGCAGACACACAGACACATGCACACACACAGACACACCTGCTAAATGGTAAACATTTCAAAATACAAGGGCTGATCAACAAGTAACTGTACTGGTGGTATAAAAATAAAACTACAACACATATCAATTCGGCATTTAATCTCCTTCGAAGTAGTCTCCACTTCTGAAGCCATACACACAGACACACATAGCATTTTTTCTATTGATGGAAGCATTACTGGAATGCCTTTTCTGGCATAGCAAGCAACTGCCTCGTCGCAATCTCTTGGATTTCCTCAATATCTTGAAATCTTGTACCTTTTAAGCGGGATTTGAATTTTTGAAGTGGAAAAAGTCACATGGAGCAAAATCTTGGGAATATGATGGTTGTTGGACCTGGGAAATGTTGTACTTGATCTAAAATTGCAGCACAAGCTATGGTCACTGATGGAATCTCTGTAGTGTGGTGAGACAAGCACACTCTACACACCTTCTTGTGCTATAAACAACAGAAGCGAGTGAGAACATTATAACTTAATACATATGAGTTTAAGATCTATCTGCACCAAGTAGCTTCACTCTGTGTACTTTAGATCTTTTACCATAGCAACTCCTAATACTTTGTGATCCGACCTTGTACTGAAAAGGACAATATTTCAAATAGCTAAAACAAGACAATGTGAGAACATTTTTTATACAAGGTTAAGGAACATGAAGAAGAAGGGTTAAAAAGTGCAGTTTGTGACAATATGTAGGAAAACCCTAGATTTGAAGAGATTACGATTGTTGTGATCAAGGAAGCATCCCACTGGGAGTCTGTTCATAAAAAGTAGTGATTCTTGGGAAGAAGCTTCTAAATTACTAATGGAATACGAAGGAAATGGGAATGATTTATTTCCGTGGATGTGGTATGGTGGGTTTTAGCTCATGGAATGAATGAGTGTAGGGCATCAGGATATATTTTTGTTTTTCATTTACATTGATTCACCCCAAGCAAAGTAGCAATGCCACTAGGATGCAGGGCGTTATAGGAAGTGAATAACTTTACAGTGTCAGAGTCTGCTCAAGGTGGAATTCAAGCATCTTTTTATTTCCACACAATGAGAGGCATGTGAAAAAAAGTACAGTGGAAAACTTGTGATAACCCAACAATACAATTCAAATAAAAACTAACCACCACTTGACAATCATTATTCAAACACAACTTTGTTTTCACATTTTTGGCCTGAAATGCCCAAATATAGAAAGCGGCCTAATTTTGGCATGAAACATCCAATTATGGAAAGTGGCCCACTTTTGGCCTGAAATGCCCAAATATGGAAAGCAGCCCAATTTTGGTTTAAAATAATTATTATGGAAACAATTTTGGGAAATGCCCAAATATGGAAAGCACAATTTTGGTTTAAAAAATTGCACAATTATAGAAAGTCTGAAAGCCCAATTTTTTTGATCTGAAATGACCAAATATGGAAAGCAGCCCAATTTTGGTTTGAGATAATTACCCAATTATGAAAAGCAGCCCAATTTTGATCTGAAATGACCAAATATGGAAAGCAGCCCAATTTTGGTCTGAGATAATTACCCAGTTATAGAAAGCAGCCCAATTTTGATCTGAAATGACCAAATATGGAAAGCAGCCCAATTTTGGTCTGAGATAATTACCCAATTATAGAAAGCAGACCAATTTTGGTCTGAAATGCCCAAATATGTTGGTTCATATCTATACAAAAATTCAGATATAAATAAAAAATATATCTGTAAAAAGATAACATGAATAAATACCAAAGAAAAACTTTGTCACTGTGTGCAGGCAGGTGTGTGTTTGTATATTCCATGTTGCAAGGTATGTGTTCCATTGCCTATAAAAAATTACTCTGTACAATATTAAAAATTATATGCCAACAATTGTGCTGAACCTAGCTATTATTTTGAAAAGGACTAGAAACCAGTCCAATTTTTCCCTGAAATGCTTAAATATGGAAAATAGTCCAATTTTGGCTTGAAGTGCCCAAATATGGAAACCAGCTTATTTTTTGTTCTGAAATGCCCAAATATGAAAAACAGCCCAAATTTGAAATCCAAACTCTATGAAAATTCCAAAAATTTATCACTTTCAGAATGATATAAATCAAACGAACCCACAACCACTCCAAAAACATTTTTACTTAAATTATTTCGTTTTGGGACCCAAATAAAGCCCCTGGCAGCCTGATTTGGAGAAAAATTTTTATTTTTTTTTTTTAAACATTTCACCCCAAGGAAGGTGATTGTAGTTATTAAGACACTGAAAATGAAAGAAACTGAGGGAGGACAATAAAAGAACAGGATTCAAGGTGACAGGAGATAATGATTGAAAATCATTTAGATTTTTGAAGATTGTAGTTGACAGGAAAGTAAGATCCCAGAAGAGTGTTCCACAAGAGAGAAATGCAGGAGAAGAGACTATAAGCATAGAACTTACAGTTGCATCTTGCAATTTCAACTATAAAAATTATGAGACCTAACTGCCAATCTAGTACTGCACTCAAATTTGCAAATCAAGGTCCCAAAGAGGAAAGCTCATCAGAACGATTACCATGAAAATATTTATAGAAAAGGCAGAAGGAAGCTACATTACGGCAATGGGAAAATAACTGGAGACAATATGCCAGGTCATGACCAATGACATTGCAGATTCCTTTTAGATTTTTGCCAAGAATCTCTAGATATATATTTAGTAGCACCTGACCAGATGTGACAGTTATGTTTGTGCAAGATAGATTCTGGCAAGAAAATTCTTTCTAGCATGCCATAGCAAACTGACTTTCCTAGCAGCAGATCTAGCAGTTGATTCAATATAATCAGTTCCACTTCAAGTCAGTGGAAAACGTGAGACCAAGGAGGTGCAATGAGCCACTCACTTGGAGGTTAGTATCAGCCATGTTGATGGAAGGCAAATTTTACTCTTTGCCCAGGTGATCTTTCCGAGACAAGCCTAACAAACCCTGAACCACCACCAAACCATATTTTTTGACAATTTATACACAAATATTTTCAGAATTTATATAATGGCCCACTGTGTGTGTGGGGGGGGGGGAGGGGAGAAAATTGAACAAAATAATAAAACCATATAATAATTATCAATGTGTATTTATATATTTTCTGTCCCATCTGTAGTGGGAAGGGACAAAAATCAACTTAGGTTAGTAAATTTGTGAGTGATTGCTTTGTTTAGCTGTTTTTATAATCAACACCAGTGGTTCCCAAACTTTTTTTTTCTCTGAGACGCATTCTCAGAATGAAAATTTACTCACACCACACTATTCTATAAGAATACATTTAAAAATAAAAACAGAGAGAGAGAGAGAGAGAGAGAGAGAGAGATATCTGCAGATTCGAAGTCAGAACATTATCATTGATAACACTCTCCTTCAATTTGCGGACCTTAGTTACTATATTCTTAATATTTGATGCAATGCAAAATATATCACATTGATGAAATCAGTCAATTATTATCTATACTGGGATTCATGCATGCAATTACAAGTAATCCATAATAATGAAAAGTACATTTAAAAATAAAAAACAGAGAGGTTTCAAGGGAGATAACTGCTGATTCAAAGGCACGACATTGTCATTGATAACTCTCTTCTCCAATTTGCAGACTCTAGTTACTATATACTTAACACTTGATATAATGCAAAAGTATCATCATGATAAAATCGGTCAATAATTATTCATAACTATTTAAAATGGGACTCATGCATGCAATTACAAGTAATCCATAATAATATTTTAAATTTTGAAATCATATTTATTTTTGGCATATGAATTTTTTTGAAACTGTTTCTAAATCTTTGATTGTCTTTCAATCATTCCGCTTCATCTGCTATCCTCTTCCGCTTCACCTGCTATCCTCTTCTGCTTCACCTATGGGGAGTAGTGCACCCTTTGAGAATCATTGATCTATACAAATAAAATATTTATCTGCATTTGGATGAAATTACTTCCCAAATGAAGCATTTAATTAATCACTTCCTTTACTCCTACATTTCTTAGATTGCAGTCTTATTTGTTCAAGCCTTTCATGTGAGGCAATCAGATACCTTTGTCTATTAAATGGTCGTCTTACTTCAACCTGGTCTTGAAATAGGTTTGTCGTTACCATCTTTGTCATTCTGCTGCTTACCTTTTTCCACCAAGAGATATTTTTATTTCATATTAAAGACAACATTTTCAACATGCAAAGACATTGAGAAAAAAACTGATTTATATAATACCAGGAGTGATCAATAAATCATAGATACCATTGAACATCTAAAAAAATATAAAGGGAATGGATTGATTAAATTAAATTTGTTGGCACCGATTTTAGCTG